TAATGCCGGTTTGCGCAGCTGTGGCTGCGGGCGCGGCTCCTGCTCCAGCTGCTCTGTGGGAGGTACGTTAGCCCCTCTGGGGGCTTTTTCTCGGGATCTGGGGCCCGTGGGGTCTACTCTCTCCCCCTTGAGAACCTGTGGGGGTGCCTCCGCCACAGGTGCGTATAAATCTTCTCCATATCTGGTCTATGATCATGCAGCTTAGTTTAAGCTGTGTGATTGTAGCCCAGGAGCATCATGGACAGGTGTTTGCTAGTGCCAGGAGCCACACAGGGAAACTGGTGTAAGTAACTTGGGCTGGAGGACCGGATTGGGGAGGGGAATGGCAGGTCCAGGGGCATGTGGCAGGTCTGCATGGGAGAGTTGGTGGGTCTGGGGGGTTGGCCAGGGAGAAAGCAGGGGTTGTCCATATGGGCGAGGGGGGACTCAAGTGGCTAAAAATAGCCCAGTCAGGGTCAGAATGGTAGGAAAAGTGCAGCCTTGGGGCTAGAATGAGCAGCTGGGATTTCCCAGCCCCACAGCTGCACTCCTGATGTGCACAGTTGTTTTCTGAGTCAGGTTGATGTATTCCCAACCTAAGTACATAGTAGATGAACTAACTTAGATTAGGCCCACCATTTTTGGCCTGATTTACACGTGCCCCCCGTCACCCGAATATCTGCACAGATGAGCATTTAGATTGACTTGACCATAGTTAGGTCAATCTAAATGTAACAACTACACATACACTAATGTGCTACCATGCCCTGCCTTCTATTACTTGTAACAGAGAGCAGTCTGGTAATGGTTTCACTGTACAGAGGTAATATGTCCTGTTTATTCTTACTTAATATTCCTCTGCTTATATGTATAAGGTCTGCTTTCTCTCTTTTATCCACAGGATCATATTTGGAGCTCATGTAAAATTGGTTATTTACTGTGGTTTTTAACAGTTGTCTGTGTGACCTCTTTTCATAGACAGAGACACAATCCCCAGCCTTATTAGACTTTTGTATTTGTTTATTCCTAAATATATAAGTATAAATCTATATTCCTTTCATTACCCTGTGTTAAAATATATATTGTTCAAATGAAGTCACCTTATCTAGGTCAGTCTGTAGAATTAACTTATCTTCCCCTTTTTGTCATCTGCAGATTTTATCAGCAATTATTTTATATTTTCTTCCAGGTCATTCATAAAACTATTGAATAACATTTTGCTGCAAATAGATCCCCATAGAATTCTACTTCCCCTCCCCCCCAAAAAACTGTACAGTAACTTTTTGCTTTCTTATCAGTTACCATCTTAAAAATCTATTTAAATAGACTAAATCAGTTTTGCATAATGGTGTTTTTTATCAGAAAGTTGTACAGAATTGTCAAATTACCTAACAGAAATCTAAGTATATTATATCTTTTTTCATGAACTCTTATGATATCTTCAAAAAACAGTAATGAGTTTGGATGACATACCTAAATTCCTATAAAATCTTGTTAAATTGTCATTAATTATACTATCACCTTTTAAATTATCATTGATTATGTCTTAAATCAGCCTACCCATAATTTTGCACAGGACTGATATCTAATTCACTAATATTTTGCATGGAAGATCTTTCATTCCATTTTTTTTTTAATAATTGCACAACATTGGCCTTTTCAGTCCTTTTAAACTTCCCATATGTGCAAGATTAGTTAAAAATGAACATTCATGGCCCTGAGAATTTCTTGTCTATTTTTGAATACTCTTGGGCATATAGTTTCATAGTTTTAGGGTCGGAAGGGACCTAATAGATCTTCTAGCCCGACCCCCCGCCAGGGCGGGAGAACAACAAAAAAAACCCTAAAAACAAAAATGGGACTCAAATGAGTCCAGCCAGGTAGGCATCCAGCCTCTTCTTAAAGACCCCCAGGGTAGGGGCCAGCACCACCTCCCTTGGAAGTTGATTCCAGCTCCTAGCCGCCCTAACTGTGAAGTAGTTTTTTCGGATGTCCAATCTGTACCTCCTCTCCATCAACTTGTGCCCATTACTCCTTGTTATGCCAGCGGGGGCTAGGGGAAACAGCGTCTCCCCCAAACCCTTCTGGTTCCCCCTAGTGAGTTTATAGACGGTCACCAGGTCCCCCCTCAGCCTTCTCTTGTGGAGGCTGAATAGGTTCAGGTCCCGCAGTCTCTCACTGTAGGGTCTGCCCTGTTGTCCCCGGATCATGCGGGTGGCCCTCCTCTGGACCCTCTCCATGTTGTCCACATCCCTCCTGAAATGGGGCGCACAGAACTGGACACAATACTCCAGCTGCGGCCTGACCAGCGTCGCATAGAGGGGGAGGATCACCTCCCTGGCTCTACTCGAGATGCACCTGTGGATGCACGACAAGGTCCGGTTAGCCCTGCCAACCATGACCTCGCATTGTCGGCCCATGTTCATCTTGGAGTCAATAATGACACCAAGATCCCTTTCCGCCTCCGTGCTCTCAAGTAGGGAGTTCCCCATCGTATAAGTGTGCTGCTGGTTCCTACTACCCAAGTGCAGCACCCTGCACTTGTCCGTATTGAAACACATCCTGTTCCTGTTTGCCCACCCCTGTAACCTATCCAGATCCTTCTGCAATCTCTCTCTCCCTGCTAGCGTGCTCACCTCCCCCCAAATTTTGGTGTCATCAGCGAATTTAAACAGGTTGCTTTCCACCCCAACATCAAGATCGCTGATGAAGAAATTGAACAGCGCAGGCCCCAGGACCGAGCCCTGGGGGACTCCACTACCCACCTCCCCCCAAGTCGAATATGATCCATCCACCACCACCCTCTGAGTGCGACCCTTCAGCCAATCTGCAATCCATCTGACTGTGTAGGCATCTATGCCACAGTCGCCTAGTTTATTAATTAGGATGGGGTGAGAGACGGTGTCAAAGGCCTTGCTGAAGTCCAGAAAGACTACATCCACCGCGACACCTGCGTCCATGGCCTTTGTGACCTGATCATAAAAGGCAATCAGGTTGGTCTGACATGATCTCCCCCTAATAAATCCATGCTGATTGCCCCTGAGCATCATTTCTGATGCCGGCCCATCACAAATGTGCTCCTTGATGATCTTCTCAAAGAGTTTCCCCAGGATTGAGGTAAGACTGACGGGCCTATAATTGCCCGGGTCCTCCCTTTTCCCTTTTTTGAAGATGGGGACCACATTAGCTACCTTCCAATCGTCTGGCACCTGGCCCAAGCACCACGATCGCTCGTAGAGCTGTGCCAGGGGCCCTGCAATAACCCCAGCTAGCTCCTTCAGCACCCTGGGGTGGAGAGTATCCGGACCCGCTGACTTGAACACGTCCAGCCCCTCCAGAAGCTCTCTAACCCGGTCCTCCCCAACCTGAGGTCTGAAGGCGATCCCCTCGCGTCTGGCTTCTATCACAGGAGGGAAGTCCCGGTCCCTGCACAAGAAAACGGAGGTGAAGAATTGGTTAAAGAGGTCCGCTTTATCCTCTGATGCAACCACCAGATTGCCCTGCATATCCTGCAGGGGCCCCACATTACCCGGCGCCTTCTTCATCCTCCCAATATATTTGAAAAAGGACTTTTTGTTATCCTTAATCCTGGACGCTAATCCGAGCTCTATATCCGCCTTGGCCTTCCTAACAGCCCGCCTGCAGGCCTGAGCAGAGGAGGTATACTCCTCTTTGGAGATTACACCCCCCTTCCACCGGGCGTACGCCGCCTTTTTGGCAAGCAGGCATTCCCGGACACCCTTGGTGAGCCAGGGGGGCTTCCGGACACTCCTGCCCCCTTTGCTTCTTGTCGGGATGGACACCCCTTGGGCCCCGAGTATCGTTTCCTTAAGGAACGACCACTCCTCTTGGACGCTGGATACTAGATACTAGATATAGTATCTAGTCCTCCAGTTTTTAAAACATTTAATTTTAATAACTTTCTATAGCATTTAACTCTAATTAAACATTAATATTTAACCTAATGGTGAATCCTATTTAAATAAAAGAAATAATAAGTGAGGAATTAGAAGAATGTGTATGAAGGTTATAAACAAAATATTCCTTGATTATTTAGTTCTACACAAGTCTTATCCTGGTATATGTTTATGCAAAGGTCATAAAGTTATTTAGTAGTTAAATGCAAGTTTTATTTTGATAGATGTACCACAATGTAGACAACATTGATAGTAGAGCTAAATCATCAGTAATTGTTTAGTTTTTTTGGTTTTGGGGTTTTTTTTGGAAAATAAGGAACCTTGGTTTGCTCAAGAGTATCTAATACCTGTTCGTAATTCATAAATAAAATGATGGCTTTTATTTATTTATTTTGACTATTAGTTCCTATCCTTGGCTCTGTATGATTTATCTTGTCACCTTGCACCTCACCATGGTACCCAAACAAACAATCAGCATTTCATAGAAAAAAAATAAAATCTGTAATACAGTGAATTGCCTCTCCACAAAATAATAAGGCTTTATCCTCTCGCACAATAGCCTATCAAAAGAAATACAATATTCCCCATTTAATCCCACCAGCTGAGAAGAAAACTGGAGTGGACCAGCGCGTTAAATTAAAAAAAAAGAAAAAACCTGAAACTTTGTAGGTGGTTTAATATGATCTAATTCACATGCACAGTCTTGTGAAGAATAGTCCAAGCATAGTAATATATATATATATATATATATATATAACAAAGGGAATGTCTATGGTGATTTCAACAGAACTGGGACCTAGAGTACACCTGCCAGCCAATTATCATGGTTACAGCATTCTTATAGCAGGGTGAGCATGCAATTTATATACTTCCCTACAAGGATTCAGGTTTATATTGTGCAAAATTCATTATCAACAGTGAGTAAACATCAAAAGTAAGATATTAAGCATAAAAATATATGTTAATATGATATGTCAATATGAGTCTTTTTTCATTCCACTCTTAAATAGTAAGTTTAAAATGTAAACTTAAAGTCTATTCAGAAAACTTCTGTGTAATCTGTTGTGCTGTGTTCTTAATCTGGACTTGTTTATTTGACCATAGGAGCCTTTCACCACGTTCTTTCTTAATGCAAATGATGGAAAATTTGATCATCCAGATCGAACATTTTCTTCAGTAGCAAGATCTTGGAGAAATAGCCAAAGAGACACTTCAGATGTGAAGGTAGGTTTACTACTATGTACATTAAATAACAGTAAGTGGATGTTTTATGCTATATAACATAGGAATGTTGTTCTGAGATGTTCATTTCTGGTGTGCTTTGTTGTTTAGGAGCACAAAAAGGTTTTGTATTTAGTACTATTACATTTAAAACCTAATATATTATAAATACTTTAGGCATAAAGTGGTTGTTAGCAACCATCATTGCCATCATAGAAAACCATAAAAGATTCTTTGAAGTTGAATAGTTAAAAGGTGTTTTCTTTCTAGCAAAAAAAAATCTAATCTAATTTAGTTCAGATAATCAGGAGATGGAGAAAAGCCCAATAAATTGTTCTTTCCTGCTGTTAACT